GTTGGAGCGAATGGAAACGCCTCTGATGGAGGTGTTTTCAAAAATTCCTCATTATATCGTCGGTTGGAAGATGGATTGCTTCCTACAAATGGAGTAATAGTTGGTGATGCAGCATTTCCACGGAAGAATTATTTACTAAAACCCTATCCAGGTACGCAGCTAAGTACTGCCGAAAAAGTCTTTAACTACAGGTTGTCGCGTGCAAGGCGCATAAGTGAAAATGCTTTTGGTATACTGGTTTCTAGATTCCGAGTGTTCGAAAAAGCAATTCCAACCCATGTGGACACAGTTGATGCCATTGTCTGTGCAGCCTGTGCCCTGCATAATTGGTTGCGAAAGCGTTCAAGTTCCTACATAACATCTACTTGTGTAGACAGAGAGGACAATGATGGACAAATAATAGAAGGAACATGGAGATCGGAAATAAATCCACTACCAAGCATTTCAGAACAACAAAGAGGCAACCATTCCATGACTGCTAAAGAAAAAAGAGACCTATATAGGAACTTCTTTATGACTGCTGGAAGTGTGCCATGGCAATTGGATAGAATTCATTAATTTTGTATAGGTACCTAGGATGGAAATAAAATAAATAAGTTACAATAACTACTTACCATTGTTTTCCTTTTTACAATAGCATTTTTTATAAAGCCGTCCAGTTCTTGAAATCACTTGACTTTTGGGACATATACGTTCCCACCAGCGCCAGATCTGGTGGATTTTTGTATCTTGTCGAGCTCTAAATAATATGTAGCCCTTATGGCTTTAATTTTATTTTTTACTTCAGTAGAAGTGAGCCCGCCGATTTGCATTTGTTGAGCCATATTTTGCAACGCTGTTGACCGCATTTCTTTATTGCGGTAATTTAGGGATTTAATATCCCAAAGGCACTCGTTTTCGCCATATAATTGCACCAATTTTAAGGTTTCGTCTTCGCTAAGCTTACGCGTCATTTTTATCGCCAGCGAAAAAAACGTGGTCACTCTACAACGCAGTGGCAGTGACTAACCACGCACTGACTTGTCTGTTTAGTGTTTACACGGGGTTTATTTGGCAGGCGCGGGGGTGCGCGGGTGGCGGGGGGCGCCAACTGACTTTAAAATATTCGTGTCCGAATATTCAAGTCAGCGCTGACTTCAAGCCACTGTACTGACTTCAAATCAGTTTACACAAGTTTTTTTTCGGGTCAGCACTGACTTGCCTCGAATTTGTAATCAGTTACTGACCCTGTGTAAATCAGCCATTACACGTGGAACCCGTGTCGTTAGAGCGTCTGCCAGCGCACACGCTCACGTCATCTTATCAGTCGATAATATTATAATATTATTACTTATTAGGTTATTTATAGGTAGTATTATTTGTTTGTTTTGGGTATAATTTTTCGTATTACTTATACATATATTTGATGTGCTTTTTACTGCGCGATGAAGCTTTTTGCGTGTGTTTTCTTTGAAGTAAATGCAAATACAAAAATTAAGCAACATTAGCATGTAAGGTTCGAATCCATAATTAAAATTTCGACAAATACTTATTATAATTTACACTATAAAAGACTAATTCAATATTATCACCCAACCACAATATCTTATTAGGTATAGTACTGCCTCGTTTGTCTACTGGTTGTAGTAGTGCGACTGCTGATCATGAGGTCCCGGGTTCGAATCCTGGGTCGGGCCAAAAAGTCAGTTATGAGTTTTTCATTTATGTTCTAAGTTATAATTAGTATTACTAAGTTATAGTTTTTTGCTAAAATATAGTATATTATTTATTGCTTGTTTTTTCTTCTTTTTCAAAAAATAATTGAGTACATAATGTGTTCTATACTTATAATTCGGTAAAAAGTATCTAAGTAGGTACTAATATACCTTCTTTTTTACTATCTAAAAATTTTTAAAACTAAATTTAACTAAAAAGACTAAACTGACCATTTATTTTTTAACTCAAAACAGGACATGGGTTTATTTATACTCTAAAAACTATAACTTTATACAATTAGTGTTCACTATAAAATTATATTCGGTATAGACGGTAATTATTAAATGCAACATATTTTTTTTAATTATTAATTACATTTGTCAGTGGATTAAATTTGCTTTAATAAAGTTGGTGATGATTTTAAATAAGAAATAAATTCTGCTCAAGTTTTTTTATTGTTATCTTTGTTAACAACATCGCCTTTAGAACTCTGGAACCGTAAGTGTTTCTTTCAGACATCCACAATTTATTCAAAATATAAAAAAATACTGTTTCTACCGGAGCATTCGTACCAGGTAGAAATAAAATATATTCGATTAAAAAAAATTATGTTGAAGATTGTTGACTTTGAATACTTCCATCCAACGAGTTACGGGAAAATTTTGTGTCCCGGAGCTTTGTTTGGGGACAATGGGACAGGTGACCGAGAAAAGGGACAGCCCCGTTCAAAACGGGACGTATGGTCACTTTAGCTATAACCCAGCGACGGCTCCGTGGCGCAGTGGCTTAGCAATCAGTTGTTGCGCTGGGGGCCGCGGGTTCGAATCTCGCACGGAACAAGTATTTGTATGGCCTACAAATAATTGTTCCGGGTCTGGATGTTTGTCCTTGTGCAATTTATGTTTGTAAACTGCCTCCACGACACAGGAGAAAATCCTAGTGTGGCGGTAACGTTTTTTTACAATTGAAATTGAAAGATTGAACCCTTATACTTCTTGTTGATTTTTGTATTACCTTTATTAAAGTTACCCTTATGTATAAATAAATATAATTACGTATGTAGAAATAAAATTGATTTTCATCCTCATCAATCATTGGGGCGAGGATAATGTCTGCCAGCATAAGTAATAAGCAGGCTAAGTTACAAGGTGCTCAGTTCAAAAATTTGTAGGTAGGTATGTTACTTTTCAATACGTGACACGTAAAAATTAATAATAATCAAAAACACATCTACGAAACATCCTATTTATTTATTTATTCTTTATTGCACCAAATATTTGTACAAAAGGCGAGCTATCTATTTATTTACCTATAGTGAATAGGTATCTTTTAAACTCACAATTTTCAATGCTTCATTTTTAATATATAATTAATTATAAAATTTCATAATTAGATAATATATGAAAATACATAATTCTAATATAATGCAACTAATATACCGAATAAAAAAATTAAAATACATTTATCGTTGTACGCTGTGTATTTCCATAAATTAGTTTATCGATGTTGAAAAAATAATATTACGTAGGTACTTACCTACAATAGGTGGGCAATATATTGAAGCGAGCGGCGCGCCGCCGGCAAAATGCTCAAGGTCGTTCGCATGGAGTAGCCCTTTAAAAAATTTCTGTCCGCCTTATACGCACATGCGTGCGGGATTCACCTGTTTGGGAGGATAAGCAAGCTAGCGAATCGCGCAATCGCGTCCCGCGTCTTCTTTTATTTAGTTTTATTGTAGGATTAGACATAAACAATGCAAGAATAATTGATTTTCAATAACTTTTTTCTCAAAAATTACGCGCGTCCGCATGTTGTAACTTTGTGTGTGTGCTTATAATAGTGTAACTTTTCTGTAAAAATACGTATCAACCCCCAACTCAATGGGAGTCAATGGAAAGTCGTACCCATAGGACTCCGATTAAGATAAAATAATGCTAAAATTCAAGTATAAATTAATGCATGAAAGAAAAAAAATGGCTAATTTACTCTAGCAATGTGTGTGTGTGTGTGTGTGTGTGCGTGCGTGTTCGCGCACGAGTGTGTGTGAGTGTAAGTATACGTGTGCATATGTAGGGGTCAGCTATGAAGAGAAAGTAAGTTTTCAGTTTCCTGATAAGAAGCATGGAGCAACCAGGTTGTTATTTTGTGCTTGACTTTGCTTGTGGACAAAAGCCCCTAATCTGGGAAGACACAGCAGAATTTGTTGTAGACGTTAGGCAGAAGAAATGGTGAGTGGTGTTTTATAAACCTACTCCGTGAATTGGGAATCGGTACTTGAAAAGATCCGACGCTTGCACAGGCTATGATAATCCGGGGAATTTATTATTATTCTATAGGTTAGAATTACTAACCCATAGAATAATAATAATCTAAATCTGTGCACTTTCAAAAAGTCATCGGTGTTTTTCTGGTATTTCCCATGGTCACTTAAGACACCCACGGGATGAAATAGGATGATGTATACGCGCTACTTTCCTGGGTTGTGGCGGTGTAAGAATATCTACTTATCATCCCATGGGTGTCGTAAGAGTTGACTGAATTAAATTGAAACAGATAAGAAGCAGCATCTTCCTGTCATTTTAAAGATTAATCATCCACATCTATCCATAGCATATAAAAGTCCACTGCTGAACATAGGCTTCCCTCATAGAGGTCATTGCCATGCTTGGCAAGCGGGTTGGCAACCGCAGTTTTACATTATCTTGCGTTTCATTTTCCATCTGTCGCCTCTTACATCACCCTTGATCTTACATCGCCACTACATGGTTTAGAGTCAAGATACGCTTCAAGATTAATCATAGGACCATTAAAAAATAAACTCGTATATTTATATAAATATTTATTAAGAAAACAAAACAAGCAGACATTTTAAAACACACCTATATGTTCCCTAAACCAAGAACACCAATTATAACAAAAATTATCGCCAATATACACACTGGGCTGCGAGGAATGCTATTATAATGCCTAACATTTTTATAGGTTATTATGATTACTACCACTGGAAAGATGCACTTCCAATATTATTGCAATTGTTACCATGGTCCAAACATTGTCACCAATAATCATAAGTTACAAGGTTACTCTAAAATATAGAATTAACAGTTGGTTTCCCGAGGAAAAACTGCTATATTTTTTCTAGTTTATCTCGCTTTTATAATATTCAGTCGTTATTTTAGTTTTTAATAATTTAATATGATTAACATTATTTGCATTATTAACGAATTAAAAAAGAATGTTAAGCAAACTTTGATAGTGCCAATATTTGGACTAACATACCACTGGACGTGTAGACTTGGTAAGAATTAAGATTTTGCTAAGCCGATGACTCCGCAAGCGATGCGAGCGCCAGCATTGCCTGTGGTCTTGCTTAGTTCGTGGCCACCAACACCAAGGTCATCCGGGTCACCGTGAACAACTAATGTACGACCAATGATGCTGTTCGGGCCTGACAGCGAGATCTGTGAATCCTGGATGCATACCTGAACACAAAGTAAACAAGTTAGCTAAGATTACAGCTTATCATAAGTCCACCAGCTGAACATTCTCTTCCCCAAGATAAATAAGTATAAACGGTTACGAAATGTCTCGTAGGGTACACCTTCTATTGCCATAGTTATCTTGTGTTGGCAGCAGCAGTTTTTTATTTTCTCGTTACTATTAGGAAGACTGCTGCCCATCTCCTAAATAATACAAAACAAACACTCATCATCATCATCATCATTACAGCCCTTCACAGGTCCACTGCTGAAAATAGGCCTCCCCCAAGAACTGCCTCAAAGCACGGTTCTGAGCCACCTGCGTCCATCGAATTTCTGCATGTCTTACCAGGTCACTTCATCTAGTGGGAGGTTGCCCTACACTTCGCCTACCAGTATGAGGCTGCCACTTGAGTCAGCCACTCGACTCTTTTCCCCATCGGCTGTCGGTTCTTCGAGCTACATGACCGGCTCATTGCCACTTCAGCTTACTAATCTGTTGGGCTAAAATTTAATTGTTTAAAAATTACTACCACAGCTTCTGCATCTGGGCAGATTGACTTGTCTCAGAATAAGATGGAATGCCTCGTTTCCAGTACATAGAAACAAAGCAGCAATAGGCTGCTATTTTATATTGGTATTCTGTTAGAATGTGGCCCGTTCCCGGTCGAGCCGACACCGACGCATTCGTGCTACAACTATAATATACCAGCAGCATGGCTCTATCTAAAATAAACTATTACGGCAATCAAAAAAACAATACACAGAATATCTAATCTACACTTGAAACTGTTGTCACTTGGTGAAACACCAGCTTCAGTTTTGTGATTTGGATAAAAACTTGTATAGTTTCATAATATTTATTTAAAACTAGCTGAATTTATTGATATTGGATTTCATGGGTTTTAATTTTTTGCGCGGAACCCTAATTCTTTTCCTAAAATAAAAGTAGCTTAAGTTACTCCTTATAACATCAGCTATTTTGCCAGTGAAAGTGCCATCCAAACCGGTTCACAAGTTTTTGCGTGATGCGTGTTCAGACAGACGTCGTGTTAGTTTTATTACAGTATAGATTATTAATTTCAAATTATTAATATATTATGTAAATACATATTAATAACAGAAAAACGATCTTCCCAAGATCATTATTCCTACAAAAACACACAGAATATTTACTTTTGTTTTTCCTCCATCGGAGGTAGCCTCGATATTGCCCAGGTCTCCCACGTGACGAATTGCCGCATCTGGAGCACCGTGGTCCTTATTGTTGGGGTTGAAATGAGGTCCAGCCGACGTGCAGCCATTGGTGTTGTCACCGAACTCGTGCACGTGGAAACCATGTTTACCCTGGAATCAAATGTAATGTAGTTTTAAGTAGAATCTTTGGTAAATATGTTTGCCATACACTTGCGCACTATGATCCTGTTCTACGCTGATGGCTAGTCTCCGTTGATACAGGACGCCGTGACCGAAATCGGTCTGGAGAACATTAGAACATAAAGAAGTAATAGATGTTTTAAAATATGGCAGGCAGTGTTTTAAAAATATAGGGACTATAAAAAGCACTAATATGTAATAAAGACTATAATGTGGGCATTACTTAAGTGATCACAGGCCGCTACCACACCTGCCTATTGATCAGTTGGGCCTAAAAGCCTAATAATACTTTTGTATTTATGATATTAATCTAATTCTATATATATATATATATATATTTACTCTATCTGTCTGTGTGTTTGTGACTGAACTCCTAAACAGCTGGACCGATTTTGATGAAATTTTGTATGTGATTAGTTTCACAATTGAACCCGGTAGGTGGCGCTGTTGTAGAGACGCACAAATCACCCGTGCTAAGCCCGGGCGGGACGCTAGTCAATTATATAAGTTTCCACCCGATTATTGTAAATTTATTTTATTTATTAAACTCCTCATAAGGTTATATTAAAAATTACATTTAATATAACCTTACGCCGTGTAGTGGCGGTTAAGAATATCCACTACCCCATATCTTCCCGTGGGTGTCGTAAAAGGCGACAAAGGGAAACAGGCAGGAGATGGGCAGCAGCATCTTCCTGATAATAGCCAAAATAACAATAAAAAAACTGCGGTTGCCAACCCGCTCGCCAAGCGTGGCAAGTATGGCAATATACCCCCCATGAGCAATGACAATAATAAACGGCCCCCAGTCCCCGGCGGCCCCGCTATTCCTGGCTACGGTGGCGACCATGGTAACGGCGGGGCAGGGGGTGCTAAGAATCTCCGGTGGAGGTTCAGTTGCCACCTACGACGACTCGACCTGGCAACATACAACGCACGCACCCTGAGGACTGACGAGAAGATTGTGGAGCTGGAAGAAGAGATAGACAAGTTACGCTGGCATATTATAGGATTATCCGAAGTCCGAAGAGAGGGGGAGGACACGGTAATCCTCGAATCCGGCAACTTGCTCTATTACCGGGAGGGCGACCATCTGTCCCAAGGAGGTGTCGGATTTATCGTCCACAAGTCTCTCGTTAACAACGTTGTAAAGATTGAGAGTGTGTCGACGAGGGTTGCGTACCTTATACTCAGAATCACCAAACGGTATTCGCTGAAGGTCATACAGGTTTACGCTCCAACCTCGGCACACCCCGATCAGGAGGTGGAGGAAATGTATGAGGATATTTCTAGAGCCATGCATTCCTCCAAAACCCAATATACGGTGTTAATGGGAGACTTCAATGCAAAACTAGGCACAAGAGAGAACGGTAAGCTGAAAGTAGGGAAATTTGGAATAGGGCAACGGAACCCAAGGGGCCAGCAGCTGGCCGACTTCATGGAGAAAGAGGGACTCTTTATGATGAACTCTTTCTTCCAGAAGCGGCCCCACAGGAAGTGGACCTGGTCGAGCCCCGACGGTTCGACAAAAAATGAGATTGACTTCATTATGACGACCAGACGACAACTGTTCAGTGATGTCTCAGTGATCGCGAGGGTGAAAACCGGCAGCGATCACCGAATGGTTAGAGGCACACTGAACCTAAACGTTAAGTTGGAGAGGTCTCGTCTAATGAAGTCAACGCTCCGTCCCCCTCGTGCTCTTTTCCAAAGTCCCGAAACCTTTCAGCTCGAGTTACAAAACCGTTTTCAGTGCCTAGAAGACTGCAATGAAGTGGACGATTTGAATGACAAGCTCGTGGAAACTGTCCATGCGGTCGGAGCTAAGTTCTGCAAGACCCGCCGCAGAAGAACACAAAAACTCTCCGATCACACTCTTAATCTCATGGCCGTTAGACGGGAGATGAAGCTACATTCTTCAACAGATTTAACAGCATACAGGCAACTGAACAGACAGATCTCCAAATGCATGCGGCGGGACTTACGCAAATTCAATACAGCTCGTATTGAAGAAGCGATCGAGCGGAACCGAGGCTCCAAAGTCTTTGCCAGAGATCTGTCTGCCAGAAAGCGCCAACTGTCAAAGCTGAAGACAGAATGTGGCAGCATCGTTTCCGGGGCACCTGAGATTTTGAGTGAGATTGAGAGGTTCTATGGGCAGCTGTACACGTCATCGTTGGAGCCGCACGCAAGTGTGAGTAACGATCCAAGAGCGAGTCTTATCCGACATTATTCCGATGATATCCCGGACGTCAGTCTGAGCGAGATTAGAATGGCTCTCCAGCACCTTAAAAACGGCAAGGCCCCAGGCGAGGATGAAATTACAGCGGAGCTTCTGAAAGCGGGTGGAAGACCGGTACTTGAAGTCCTTCAGAAGCTCTTTAATTCCGTCCTCCATGGTGGCATTACACCGGAGGCGTGGAGCAGAAGTGCGGTGGTCTTGTTCTTCAAGAAAGGCGACAACGCTCTCTTGAAGAACTACAGACCGATTTCCCTTCTGAGCCGCGTCTACGTGCTGTTTTCGAGAGTCATTACGAATCGTCTCGCGCGCAGACTTGACGACTTCCAGCCTCCCGAACAAGCCGGTTTCCGAAAAGGCTTTAGCACCATAGACCACATACATACCCTTCGGCAAATTGTGCAGAAGTCCGAGGAGTACAATTTGCCACTATGTCTGGCGTATGTGGACTATGAGAAAGCCTTTGATTCCGTCGAAATTTGGGCGGTGCTGCAGTCCCTTCAGCGATGCCAAGTTGACTGTCGATATATCGAAGTGTTGAAGTGCTTGTACAGTAGGGCTACGATGGCTATCCGAGTACAGAACCAGAGTACGAAACCTATCCAATTGCAGAGAGGTGTAAGACAGGGTGACGTCATATCCCCGAAACTCTTTACCGCTGCATTGGAAGATGTTTTCAAGCTTCTGGACTGGAAAGGATACGGTATCAACATCAATGGCGAGTACATCACTCACCTTCGATTTGCCGACGATATAGTCCTTATGGCAGAATCGCTGGAGGACCTAAGCACTATGCTCAATGACCTCAATAGTGTTTCCCAACGGATAGGTCTTAAGATGAACATGGACAAAACAAAGATCATGTTTAATGTCCATGTCACACCTATGCCGGTAGTTGTTGGGAACACTAAGCTCGAAGTTGTTGACGAGTATGTTTACCTGGGACAAATAGTCCGACTAGGTAAGTCCAACTTCGACCGAGAGGTCAATCGACGGATTCAACTCGGTTGGGCAGCGTTCGGGAAATTACGGCACATCTTCTCGTCAGGTATACCTCAAAACTTGAAAACGAGACTGTACACCCAGTGCGTGTTGCCAGTGATGACATACGGAACTGAGACGTGGTCCTTCACTGCTGGCCGGATGAGGAAGCTCAAGGTCGCTCAGCGAGCTATGAAGAGGGCTATGCTCGGAGTTTCTCTGCGTGATAAACTCAGAAATGAGGATATCCGCAGTAGAACTAGAGTGACCGACATAGCCCAACGGATTAGTAAGCTGAAGTGGCAATGGGCCGGCCATATAGCTCGAAGAACCGACAACCGATGGGGAAGAAAGGTTCTCGAGTGGCAGCCTCGTACCGGCAGGCGAAGTGTAGGGCGTCCCCCCACTAGATGGAGTGACGACCTGGTAAGATATGCAGGAAGTCGATGGATGCAGGTGGCTCAGGACCGTGCTTTGTGGCATTCTTTGGGGGAGGCCTATGTTCAGCAGTGGACTTGTGAAGGGCTGTAATGATGATGAATGATAACCTTACGAGGAGTTTATAAGTATACTTTATAGACCAATTCAAAGAGTATATAGGTATAGAAAAAAGTTGTCAAAAATACCTATGATGTTTTAAAACTTTCATGAAACTACTTAGGTAGATGTCGTCTTATGTATGTATGGATGTCAGAAGTGTTGTGCATTGTTTTTTATCTCAATCCAGTATGAAAATAATAGTTAGTTATAAATAGCAAAAATTTATAACGACTAAACTAGTTTTGGTAGTATAACATGGCACGATGCACACATGGCACTGCTTCTCGGATAAACAGTGATATTCTGAAGAAAAAAAAGTCCCTAAAAAATTATTTGATAACTTTTAGTGATATTTATCAAATCTTGACAAATTTCGAAAATACATATTGGCAACACTCTTTACCTGTCGGTAATTTTTTTTTTTTTATAGGAGAGGGGGCAAACGAGCATGCGGCTCACCTGATGGTAAGTGACTACCGCCGCCCATGAACAACTGCAACACCAGGGGAATCGCAGATGCGTTGCCGGCCTTTTAAAAAGGAGTACGCTCTTTTCTTGAAGGTCCCTAAGTCGTATCAGTCCGGAAAAATCGCTGATGGTAATCGATTCCACAAGGAGGTCGTGCGAGGAAGAAAACATCTTCTAAATCGCACAGTGGTGGACCGCCAATCATCCAGATGGTGTGGATGGTATCGGGAGTTCTGCCGCGATGTGCGTTCGTGAAATTTGGCGGCTGGGATTAATCCGAACAATTCCTCAGAGCACTCCCCATGGTAGATGCGAAAGAAAATGCAAAGGGATGCAACATCTCTTCGCAGTGCCAATGAATCGATCCGATCGGAAAGGGCTCGGTCGTCGACAATTCGAGCCGCTCTGCGTTGGATGCGGTCAAGTGGAAGGAGCTGGCACTGGGGAGCCCCTGCCCAGAGATGGGAACAGTATTCCATGTGAGGCCGAACTTGCGCCTTGTAAAGTAGCAGGCGGTGTGCCGGCATGAAATACTGTAAATTTCTGTTTATGTAAAAATAGCACTATCCTTTTCACACATTACAAAATCGTAGTCTTTGTTTGGTTACACTAAACCTACCTAGTTATGCAGTCTGGAAATAGCCTTAATACAGGTTGATTCCAAAGTGTCCCGACTAAGCTTTTGATATTACACTACTCGTAAACATGATAATTGCAAGCAGCCAAAATTTTACAATAACAT